TGGCTTTCTGCTCCCGCGCTGGCGTTCCTGCTCACCGGCTCCCGGCCGTCCATCGCCTCCATCCACAGCCTCCGGTCCTCTTCCGAGAGCGCCTGCATGGTGATCACACCAGGCCTGCCGAGACAAAGGCAACGCTGTCAATAAACCACGGGATGGAAAACAAAGGTGACAAAGTTAAATGTCCCGTGAGGCAGAGAGAGGAGGAGGACAACCTTCTTCCCAGCCAAGGGGCTCAGCCCAGCCTGGCCTCCCCAGGGGTATCCCTAGAGGTCCTAACCAGGACCAGCAGTTGAGCAGTGGGTACCTCCCACCACCGACACACATCTTCAATGTTTTTAGTGTTTTTAGAGAGCTGGATGCCAAATTCTTCCTCTGGCTTTTAGCCAGACAGCTCACCTGCACTTGGGCTAAGCACGTTCAGGCAAGGGCAGGAGGAGACAACCAAAGCAAGCAGGAGACCCTCACATCCCAGCACCCCAATTCTCTTAGTGTTTCCTTATTTTAATGAGAAGGGAAAGACCAAGCCTAAGTACCTGCAAACAAAGCACAGGGAGCCAGGGGACAACACCAGTCCTGCCCTCAAGCTGGGGCCAGTGCTACCTCCACCACTCACAAGAGGACTCCAAGTCCCCTCCTGGACTGCCCTTTGAGTTAAAACTTAATTATCTAGCATGACCACCAAGGTCACGATGGATTTAACACAGTGAGGAGTATTTGCACAGCTTCAGGTGTGCTTGGGTGTTTGCACAAGAGGGGAACACCACAGAGGATGAAAGCCAGCACTGCACTCCCAAGGGTCATGCCGTGGGCTAAAAGATGCAGTGCATCTCGCCTGGCTGCCAGGCTTTCCATCCCCAACATCCTAGCTCCTCTGGCAGCCAGCAGACCCAGGCACACAAAGCCTAGCTACCCCTACGACTCCTCAGCCTCGTGCCCTTGGGTCCAGGTCTCCAGCCTCTGAAGGGATGGCTGCATCCTGCCCTGCTCCACTCCCAGCAAACCCTGCATCAGGTCAGGATTCCCACACGGTGCCCAGGTTCCAGGCAGAGGCCCTGGTCTCCATGAGACAGCAGAGATCTATCCTGTTTGTTTGGTCTAGTCGTTTGCTTCCTCCCAGACTATTTTGAGCAGCACTAGCAGAGCCTGGCAGCTATTTCTGCAGGAGAAGAGCAGGCAGAGCCTGGCAACGGCGGAGATGCCAGCAGGACTGGAGCATGGGTGGCTCTGGGTGCTCTCTGCAGCAATGCTCGTGGGGTGCATCCATCAAAGTATGACAGCAGAGAACCTCTGATGCTGCACAGCAGCTCCAGGAAGGAGTGGAGAGTTGGGATCACTGCTGGGAGGCACAGGGTTGCCAGGGCACAACAGGGGGAAGAGCAATTGAACCTCAGGAGCTGCCAACCAGCACAGACTGCATTCAGCAGAGCACGTAGGCTCTCTTCAGTATTAAATCCTCAAAGACTGATAAGGCCTGGGGAGAGGGGTAATGTCTAACTTGCACTTCCCCCAAGTGATTCAGCAGG